GCTGGGACTACTGCACAGAGTCATGAGAAGTTTGGAGTCCAGTGGACACTGAGGGTGGAGCAGAAAGGGCATGACAGGAGCCACAGAAAATCAGAGGCCAAACCACAGTGCAGACTCCACTGGGCAAGGCAAGGAGCCTGGACCCCACTCCAGGGGGAGTTTAAATCACAGAAACAAATGCCAATTCTGTGTTTTACATCATTCTAGAGTTCACATCAACAGAGTGTCAGTGAAAAAAGTATTGAAATAAGTCTCACAAAGGACAGTAAGGGCCTAATGTAGGATGGTCATATCAGTAGTGATTTTTAAAAAATTAAAAAGTAGGGCTGGGGATGTGGCTCAAGCGGTAGCGCGCTCGCCTAGCATGCGTGCGACCCGGGTTCGATCCTCAGCACCACATAACAACAAAGATGTTGTGTCCGCCAAGAACTAAAAAATAAATATTAAAAATTCTCTCTCTCTCTCACTCTCTCTTTAAAAAAATAAATAAATAAATAAATAAAATAAAAAAATTAAAAAAAAATTAAAAAGTACATACCCTGCTTTGAACAGTACACCCCATATATATGTATCTATGAAATTGTCACCCCCATGCCTCACAAATTTGTATAATTAAAATAACAATTTAAAACAAATAAAAAGCCAGAATATTTTAAGATATCTTAAATTGATGATAGGGAGAAAAAAGAAAAAAAAAACATTAAGAGGAGAAAAAAAAAGCTTTGGGGAGAGGAAAATTATGAAGAGAAGTGTTTTCTGGAATTAAAAGTAAAGAGATGGATCCATCTTGGTCCCCTAGGGGATGGTGTGCACAACACACTCAAAAATGCTTATTAAACAGAACTAAGAAACCCTAATACAATTTCTCCAGGTGCTAATGCCTCCAACACTGAGCCCTTGGGTGTCACGAAGGATAACTAACGTTCAAATGCTGTCTGTTTCTGATAGCAGTGACACATGAGTCATGGTAAACAACAAAAGTGTAAAAGCTATTATGGATAATTTTCTTTCATTTACTTTTAACAGCAGGTAAAATCAGCCAGCATAACAGAAATAATATCAAGAAAGGAGAGAATATGGAAATTGCTAATCGTAAAACAAAACAAAAAAAAGTCCATAAAGTTAAATTGACATAACTTTTTATCTTGCCCACCCCCCCCCCCCCGGAAATTGGTATTTGAATTGGGCTTAGAAATATCCTGAAAATACCAGCAAACTGAGAACTCAAAAGCAGTATCTTTTTAACCCTTAAGTGACTGATCCCTGAGAAGAACCTATGGCAAGGTGACGTTAGAGTGATATGAAAATCTTGATGTTGCCATAAAACAGCTGGTTATAAAAGCTGTTCCTCCCTTCTCTGCCAAGGCCTAGGAAAGCAAGGAGATAAGAAAGCAGATTCAGGAAGGCTTTTTAAATTAAATTAATGCAGACAAGGGGATTTCTTATTTTTCTCCCACATTTAAGGACCCTCATCATTATACAAAATACATGTATGAAGATGTGAATTTGGTGTCAACATACCTTATATATAATCAGAGATATGTTAAATTATTGTATAATAGTGTACTAAGAATTATAATGCAAAATAAATAAATGAATAAATAAACAAATTTAAATAAAGGAATAAAAAGACAAACCTATACTAGTGCCTTCTTTCTGCCAGATGAAGTTGAAACATCCTACCCAAATTTCCAGATCCTCTGCATTCTGAGCCACATGGCACACACGACTTTCCCATCCCACCTCCTGACTAGGCACAGGCCTCTGACTACTGGGCTGAGCTGCTCCTTCCCCAACACACAGCTGCTCTGTTCCCTAAGGCTGCACTGTCATAGGATCTGTCCTAGCATGGACGTCAATCTTCCTGGAGCCTAATCGCTGCCTCCTGACACATTATAAGACTCACTTAGAAACCACCTTCTCTACTCTGACCCTCAGACTCTTTCTCTCTTGGGATGTACAACCAAGCACTTTATTGCTTACTTTCTCACCATTTTCTGCTGGTTTTGGTCTCCAACTAATCAGAACCCTTCTCAGAGATATCTGGGATTATGCTTTTTTATCTATCCTGATAATTCTCACCTGATGTGTCAATTCACTCAATCAGTAAGCAAGAAGTATCTACTATGTGCCAGATGTGCCATATTCTAATGTATTCTAGACATTAGAAAATACAGCATTAAAAAACAATGAACAAAAACTGTGTCTTCCTGGAGTTTACATTTCCCAGGCCTAGAAATGAGGACATGAGATAATATACACTGTGGGCAGGTGAAATATAGAAAAGGCTAGCCTAGTGGTGAACAGATAATGAAGGATCAGATTCTAGTATATTCCGAATGTAGTGACAACAGGAATTGCTAATGGAGTGGATTTAGCCACTTAAGGAGCCAGAGTGGCCCAAAGGATTCTGACCTGAGCAACCCAGAGGTCAGAGCTGTGTGGGGCAAGATGCAAAGACCAGGGGCGGAGGTGGTGGGGGAAGAGGGTCAGGAGAGGGCAGGAATTTGGGGATAGATAAGGGAAAGGAACTCCAGAAACGCTTATTCTAGAAGAGCTGGGGTTTCTTCCCATTTCATGTTAAAAACCACTAATGTACCACCCATCCCCACCGCTCGTCATACCAGTTTCTCTCCCACCTGGTTATGCTTTATGGACTCAAAACTCGAGAAAGAGCAAGTGCCATGAGTTTAGCTCTTCCAAGAAACTCCTATAGTTTGTGTTCATTTTCTTTAATTTGAAACTTGGTGATGATGGGGGACATTATTAGTCATTTAGCTCACAAAAATGCTCCTGTAGTAGATCATATGTAGAGTCCAAACAGTAAGTCAGTTTCTTTATAGCACTTGCTTATACTGGTAGTCACATATTGTTTATCAAACTTTGACCAAGTGCCTAATATACACAGGCACTGCATAGGATGCAAAATTATTAAAGCTAGATTCTTCAACTCAGGGCAAATAGATGAATTTAAAATCTATCTATTTGCCCTGAGTTGAAGAATTTATTTATCTGAAAATAAATCAATAAAAATGAAAACAGCATATGCTGGGTATCCAACAGGACTGAACTGGGTCCTGAGCAGATTGTCTCCTCTCAGTGGTCCTCAGTCTCTCACCTGTGAGGTGAGCAAATCTGTAGTAGTTCATTTCTAAAGATCTTAAACCTTCTGATGGTCTATATTAAGGATATAAGCAATCTTTAAAATATTCTTTTCAAAAATTTAAAAATGGAAAAAGAAAATTGAGCATAACTCTGACAAGAGAGTTCCAAAAATCACTGAGTAGATAATATACATTGGGAATGGAATTATTAAAATCTTAAGAAAAAAAATTGGTTTGGGTAACTCAGGAAGGCTTTGATTGCAATGATTTTCAAATGTCATGCTAGAGTAAAAGTTTTTTTCAGTATGGAATGGAAAGTCAGTGAGGATGTTTAGTCAGGAAAGGGAGATGAATGTGATTCTAAAAGATTTCACTCATCATCATGAATAGGCCAACATGAAGAAGGGAACCACAGGGGCAAATACTGCGTGATATATAAGGGGACAGAAAATGAACGTGACAAGTGCTAAAACTATTCCAAGACTATGGACAGCAAGCTGAGAATCTGGAATTAATGGTAGTGTATGGGTCTGTTGTCTGTATACATGTGTTGGGTGTGTGCTTAATAAATCTATAACTGTACAATTATCCCTTTTGATTTGCATTGGTTCCAGCATATCCCACAGACACCAAGAAAAAAACAAGATGGATACTCTATACCCTATAAATATCCTCCTGCATACTCTTAATCATCTCTAGATTACTCATAATACTTAATGCACTGTACATGCTTTATAAATGGTTTTCATACTTAATGTACTGTACATGGCTTTATAGCTGTCATACTCTATTGTTTAGGAAATAATGACAAGGAAAATGAGATAGTTTTTCAAAAAATTTCAACCCATAGTTAGTTACATTTTTAAATGCAGAACCCAAGGAAATGGGGAAGAGGGTAAGAGCAGCTGTCCTCAGAAACAATCATTCTTCAAAGACAGAAATAATGATTAGGAGTAACTTGTGGGGTTTGATGAAAGGTGGGAGACTTAACAGTGACTTTCTCCCCAGTAGGCTTACCAGAAAGGAGCAATACCAGTAGCAGAAAACAAAAAGTAATGTTGGAAATGACTGTGTGTGTGTGCACACGCATGTGCTGTACATGTACACACACATACAACTAAGTTCAAAGAGTCAAGAAAATCAGTGCCATGATGGGAAATTACTCAGACTGAGAGGAGCTTTCTCCATAAATAAGGTTCAGCAGGACATGGCTGCCTTGCAAAAGTCTGAGCCAGTCCCCACTATAGTCAAGGAAAGTGTTTTCCAACTGTGCTTCCCTTACAAGTCAGAAAGGTTCATGGTTTACAAGCTGCACATAGCATGAGGCACTCTTCAGGTTTGCTTTTGCCATGCGAAGTGAACAATGGAAAATATTTTGAATGGTGTGTCTATTTTTAAAAATGCATCAGAATGCTTTTAATGTTCAACAGTGAAAAACCAAAAGAAAAATGTTGGCCTCAAAATTTATTACAAATTTTCTCTTAAATGTACTATGTGACAGATTGTTATTTGCCAATAAGGTAGTTCCTGTTTCAATTTTGAGCCATAGTGCCTAAATACTATAGGTTTTTATTTTTAAATGTAATACTACTAACTGCTTGAAGAAAAAAAATGGGCACTTTGCTGTGTCTCATGTTGACAGAAGTTTTTTTTAAAAACTTACTTTAGATTTAAATATTTTATGTTTAATATTATATTTTAAATAATTTTCCCATTTGCAATTATTAATTAACTTGAATCTGGATATTTGTTAAATATATATACTCAATGAAGGTAATACTTAAAAGAAAAGTTTAAACTATTAGATCATGACTACTATAAGGAAATTCCCTACTTGATCATGGTTTTGTTCTCCTAACATGTGTTTTTGTGATGTATTAAAGGAACCAGTCTCACCTGTTTTTGACTGTAGGCTTCTTCTTGGTTCTTCAGGGGCCTCAATTGGCTGATCAGCCAGGAAAACTCGAGCTTGATCCACTGCGTTCAGGACAGAATACTCTTTCTCCTTCAACTCACGTCTCAGTGCCTTTGCAAAAAGAAGCAAAAGTTGAATTTGTAACCTCGTGTTCAGCACGGAACATCTTCAGTTAGATCACTCTGAGTATAGCTGGGAAGGAAATGATTAACAACCAGCATTTAAGTTAAGTTAGAAGTGAAAATGGAAGGTTGATAGATCTGAACAGTGAAAAATTTGAATAGGAGCAAAGAGGTGATTCTGCAGAACTTAAATATGCAAAAACATAAAAGAGGAGAAGGAGGAGGAAGAGAAAAGAACCAAAAAAGTAAGAACTTTACCTGGGTAAAATGTTACAGAGTATTTTTTGTATTTGTGGTACTGGGAATTGAACCCTGGACCTTGCACATGCTAGGCAAGTGCTCACCACCTTGCTGTGTCCTCCAGCCCTGTTACAATGTATTTGAACTTACACAAAATATACCTTTGGAGCTGCCACTAATGTCAGGCTGTTAAATTACAATACCCTGTTCCAAGATACTTTTCTCTTATAACATTGACAGGAAAAAAAAAGTGCATCCAGTGGTACAGAAGAAGAAAATCAGGAATGAGATTTTCAGTATTTCACATTCTTTAGGATACATTAAGGAAAAAAGAGAGAAACAAATTAAAATATGTGAAATCAAAATTTAACCAAAGAGAACACGTAAGAGACAGTCTCCAAGTATCTTAAAATATGTTCTACCTCTCATTCTGAGGCAATTGCTACTTTTTCCCTTGTGAGGTTTTTCATGCAAATCTATTAAGTAGGGCTAAACTTTCACCGCAGCTCCTAGGAAATGTTCCATGATTACGACTAATTGACAAGAATTTGAAAACAAAACTCATTAAGTGACTGCTATTGCAACAAGTGGTAAATGAAGATCTCTCATTTGCTATTCTAACATTTTAGCTAAATCAAAATTGTTAGTAGTGTTACCCTCTTAAAATTATACATATCTCCACACCTTCTGGCTCTGATATTTTCTGTTAGTGCATTTCCCTGCAATGCACTATGAAAACTCCGTTGTTGTTTTCTAGAACTCTAGACTGAGATGCTCTGGTATTTTAAAATCAATAAAAATTTTTCTTTCTAAACATAACTACTATTTTTTTAAAAATGAGTTTGACCTAACTATGTTAAACTGACAGGCTAAATCCTCATCTTCCACAGTCAGTAAAAAAAAAGTAGAAAGTGAAAAAAAGTGCTGGAATCATCACCTCACGTAAAGATATGGAGCTAAACACCAGAAAAATTCTGGTAATGAAGTGGAAAGAGACTGTCACAGGTGCCAAAGGACAAGAAGTAATGAGAGATTGAGGGACAAAGTACTAATTTTTGTGATAAGCACTGTAAATAATTTGACCTTAAGACTATGTCCAATTATTACCTTGATAAAAAAAATTAAATAAGAGAATAAAAGTGGGCAAAAAGCCCCCCACAATCCAGTGATAAAATATAGGATACAGGATGAAATAAAAACCTTTTCTAAAAGCCATAGACAAATTTACGTGTCCTTCTTAGCATCTATAAAACGGAAGACTGACTATGAAGCAATCACAAGTCAACAGCATCTCCAGATCGCTTATCTCCAATGAGCATGAAATGACTATCGAGGGAGAAGAGGGACAAAGCTGCCACTATCTGTACTTCAGAAATGCAGCTTTAGAAGAAGTTCCAGGTGTGACATTCCATGAAAAAAGAAAAGGAAAAAGATTATCTTCTGACATTTAAAGTTTCTGATACACGGAAATAAAAGAGACGCAAGTGAAAAGGAAAAATTACATTTTCCATCCAGAAATATAAAAATAAGCACAGGTGTTGAGCCAATTCTTTTAACTGAGATTATTGTGTTGTTAGAGCAAAGAAGCACTAAGGGGATAAAAACATTCCTGGTATTAACTTCCAAAGCCAGCTGGGAACACAATGATGTAAAAACTCATTTGTGTTAAAAAAAAAAAAAAAAAGAAAAAGCAATAGAAAACAGCATGTATTACAGCAAAAAAAGAAAAAAAGAAAGAAAAAATTTCAATTTTACTGGTCACGAGGACTTAAACCCCAAAAATCGAATTAGTCAATGTGAGGGCACTAAAAGATTCCTAAAGTGATGTGCAGGGAGGGCTGTGCTAGACTCCTCTGGGAAGGGAAGTCAGGGGGTTGTGAAGGCTCACTGCAGAAGAAAGGCCACACCTTCTCCACCAGGGGGAAGAATTCACAGACAGCACAAAAGAGAAACCAGAGAACACTAATAGGTAACCATGAGGACAGAGATGAAAGGCCAAGAAAAGAAGTAATGTAACAGAATGTGAACCCCCAAAGGAAAAGGAGACACAGTGCTGGTTCTCTGGGAGCAGGAAATGCCTATGGAGCTTTTATTTCAGAGGGCAAATCTGGATCCTTCAGTGCAGAAGGGAGCTCACAGGATCTTGTGACTAAAGTGTTGAGTACTCCTGAGGGGACATTCTGGCTATAAATAGTCCAACCCTGTGTGCTGGAAAGAGATGTGGGAGGGAAAAGGGCAAAGGAGAGAGCTGCCTTGGAACTATTTTTAGAATTTAAAAGATCCAAATGGAAATACACATTAGTCTACAGAAAGATTCTTGGAGAACTCACCAATCAACTCCCCCAGGGCTGGAGGTTGATAGCCTAACACATGATCTCGCAATGGAGCAGTGTGTCTCGGGCTGGCTCTTGGCTCTACCTAGAAAGCTTATGCTGCTGATCCCTCATCCCCTTCCGGCTTTCTAGGTGAAGCCCACCTACACCTTATTTAACCTAGTGCTCACCTTTCCCCTCTTGGACATCCCTGTTCCCATTCCTCTGCTTCATTTCTTGGTATTTCCTAGACCTACTACCTCCACTACACAAGGAACCTATGGAGTTATCATGTTTACTGTTTAATTTCTGTCTTTTTCAGACATAAATAAGTTCTGGGGATGTTTTCTGGTGTTTTCTTTTTCCTCTCTTCTTCTCAGTGAACAAAGTTTCCAGCTCAGTGTTCTGCCTGGGACCAGCATCACCCTGAGGGCTCTTAAGTGCTTCCGGGGGAGGTGGAGCCTGAATGGAGTCATGCACAGAGAGAGGGCAACTCCCACCAGAGGAACCGCCACTGGAGCAGAGGGCGGGAAGATCACAGTGTGTACACTGGGACCAACAAACATTTTAGCACCTGCAAGTGGCAGCAGCTGAGGCTCAAGATGCAGACAGAGATAGAGTCAAGCCTTTTGTGCATGTGACACAATAATAGGTCGAGGGAAGCCACAGAGGAGCTAGACAATTGGGCTCAGAGTGACTGTCTAGATCTACATTTTTGTTTTTATAGTACCTATGGCAGGTCTCCCAGATTCATAAAAAACAAGCCCGAGTCTAAGAAAGCCCCAAGGATCATTTTCCTTCCTGACCACATTAAACTCTAGCACTTCATTAAAAAATAAAATCCTCTCTGCACAGGATGCTTACTGGGGAATGTCTCATGAACTCCTTTGATTAGTATGGGAGGCAAGTATGGGCGGATGGGAACTCACCCAAGTAAATAAAAATACCAGGACTCTGGCCCTAATGCCAACTCACCACCCAACTCCTAGAGAATGGCATACATTTAATAGTATCTGCTCATTCCCATTTTGCAAATTTAATGTTGTTACTCAATTTGTCCTATTTCAATTATATTTAATTGCTTGTCAGAAACGGATTTGACTCTCAACAGCATCACACATGTAATCATTTCACCACTCTCTACCTCTCAATTAGACATAAAAGAAAACCTGCATTTCCCAACCACCTGGTGAACATTAATGATAAGGTAATTAGACTCCAATGAGTTGTTTTGTATACAGAGATACAAAGTGGCATTTGGTTTTAAGTTTCTAATGTCATGTGATTTACATATGGGCCATCTTCAATGAGTATAACATAATCTAATTGGTATTTTCTGTTTTAATGACTTTATATTTTCATTGAAAACAGTTTTATTTCCAGACAATAACAAGTACTGGTGAGGCTAGGAAGAAACTGAGATCCTTCTGTATTGCTGGTGAGAAGAAAAAATGGTGCAGCCACTTTGCAGTTCTCAAAAGGTTAAACAGAGTTACCGTATGATCCAGCACCCCTGGGTATAGATACAAGAGACATGAAAACACATCCACATCAAATCATGTGCATGAATGTTCATAGCAGCATTATAATAGCCAAAAGGCAGACATAATCCAAATATTCTTCATCTGGTAAAGGGATTAAAAAAATGTGGTACATCTATCTATACAGTAGGATCTTCCCCGGCCCCCCACGCCTTTTTTTTGGGGGGTGGGGTACTAGGGACTGAATTCAAGGGCATTTTACCATTGAGCTACATCCCCAAACTTTTTTATTTTTATTTTGAGACAGGGTCTTATTAAGTTACTGAAGCTGGTCTTGAACTTGCAAGCTTCCTGCCTAAGCCTCTCGAGTCTCTAGGATTACAAATGTGTGTCACCATGTCCAGTTATACAACAGAATCTGATTCAGCAATGAAAATGAACGAAATACTGATATATGCTACAACATGGATGGATCTTAAAAACATGCCCAGTGAAACAAAAGCAAATCGTGTATGATTCCATTACCGTGAATGTACAGAACAGGCAAGACGAGAGGGACAGAAAGTAGACGGGAGGTTGCTTAGGGCTAGGGATAGGGAAGAACTGGTGGTTGCTCATGGGGATTTCTTCTGGGGTAATCAACATGTTCTAAAACTAGGTAGTGATGGTGGTTACACAATTCTATAAATACACTAAAAACTGCTCACCTGTGTATTTTAAAGGGGTGACTTAGAGGTGTGAATACTATCTCAATAAAGTTATTCTTAAAGTAAAATAATTCTGTTCTTTATCTACATCAAATCTTCCAGGTAATGTTTCTTTTCTAGCCTCTGCACATCTGCAGAGTGATAGCTCACCCCTTTGGCTGCCAATGTTTAGCAACAAGGTAGGGCTCCCCTTCTGAGTTTCTGGAGCACTTCACACTCCTGTCTGGACTTGTCTTGATACACTGCAAC